AGTTTCTGAATGAAAGCCAATAACCTGCTAAAAAATGTTAGCCATTTGTCCTCTTTTCTTATGGATGCTAAGCTATCATCCACTTGTCCTCTCCTTCTTTCCCCATGTTTTGATAGGTTCAAACATGTCCTCCTGGGTATTTACAGTATTTGCACCCTTGAAACTAGACATGGTCACATTCAAAGACTGTTGCATGAGGAAAGTTCATTTGTATGACAGCTTTTAATCAAGAAGATTCCAGACAGTTTACACCCTCTTCAGCATTTAATTTATGTTTGTAATTGGTATCGGTGCACATTTTGGAAGGTCAACCCAAGTTCTTGAGTGTGTCTCCATCACAATCTAATGAAACATAATCTTCACCATCACCGACACACCACCAAAGGTCCCCCCCTCCCTTCATCCCTCCTTCTCCTCTTCCCTTCCTCCCTCCCGTCTTCAAGAGCTTCAATTGTACTCCTTGTACTGCTCCAAATAGGGTTATTCCCCAGGAGGTGTGGAGCAGAAAAGGAGACCAAGGAGACTGCACTTTGCCAAGCGCAGTCATCTCTCTTCCTCTCTGAGGACAATCCTCTTTCGACTCCCAAACCACCCAGGAATATTAGTCTTATTGCATTTAATCACTGAATCCTCGCACCCAAAAGATTTCAATTCATTAAAGGCACTCAGATATTCAGGCCAGCTGCTTCCTGGCGACTGGCTAAAGACAAGGTGGAGACAGACAGACAGGCTGTGCGTGTGTGTGTGTGTGTGTGTGTGTGTGTGTGTGTGTGTGTGTGTGTGTGTGTGTGTGTGTGTGTGTGTGTGTGTGTGTGTGTGTGTGTGTTCTCTTTCTTTCTCCAACTCTGCGGAGACAGGGCAACCCAATCCTCAGCAATGCCTTGGCTGTGCTCAGCACAATTCAGCGACAGCTATACCTAATCACACCACACAGAGGTGGTTCAGCTTATACTGTGATTGTGTGTATGTGTGTCAGTGTGTGTGTGTTTGAGGTAAAGGAATGTGTGTTGAAAGAACACAAATCTGCAGACACATACAACTGTGCATGCACATGCTAGTGTACACAAACACACATGCACACGCACAGCTTTGCAAGGCTTTTTTAAAGCAGAGACTGTTGATCCTTCCACAAGCAAGCGAAGCGGCTTACATCTTTCTGTTACAGCGGATTGAAGGTGCATTCTAATACAATTACGCTGACGGAAAAAAAAGTGCTTGTATAGGAGGAAGGAGGTGCTGCAGCAACATCTGCTGCCTGATGCCGTCCAAAGGCACTTCAGTGGTGACATCTAGACAAAAAGAAAAATGAGTGGAACAAGATGATTGTTGCGGGCGAGCATGGCTGAGGTTCACATAAAATGACATTTAAGTCCAGGACAAAACAAATTGGGCGTCCTTTCATGTCTCTTGTGTCTCATATTTTGGAAAGAGAACTCCTTTTCCTCTGAGCAAGGACACGTGTGAGGCGAGTGCAAGTGTGAATGTGCATGTCCTTACTGTCTATATTCTGGCAGAAAAGAATCATCGTGCCAATGTGTCTGCGCATGCATGCTCATGCATGTGTGTGTTTGTGAGAGCATTTGCACAAAAAAGATGTCTGTGCATGCCTGTGTACGTGCACTCGCGTGTTTCTGTGTCCTCTGCGTATTTGTGTGTGTGTGTGTGTGTGTGTGTGTGTGTTTTATGCAGAATATACTCCACAGACCAGATGGCTGCAGAGTGGCTTAGGAATCAATATTTAAGTGGAAAACATACCAACAATGCATCTGCATGTGTTTGCTGTACCCCTGTGATAAAATATTGACTCTCTGGTTTTTGCAAGAATTATCGGCTGCGGTCAAAAATAGGATATGCGGCTTAGCTGCCTGTACCTGCTTTGTGGAAGCGGTGATGACGGCTACACATTCGTGTCAAATGTGGATGTAGACAGGCAGGGTGGATGTTTGTCATGAAATACTGCCACCAACAGCAGATGTCAAAATGTGTTGCTGGCAGTTGCTGTTACTTCTGTTTGAATGAACAGAAGCACAGAGAGAGAAAGAGAGAGAGAGAGAGAGAGACATGGAGAGAGATGCCTGCTCAACGGCCTTGCTCTGTGCTTGATTAAATGCTTAATGTAAAAGTGCAACTAATATGTCAGCATAGAGCTGCATTTATAATTCTGATGAGTTACACTGCTAAAAAAAATAAAACATAATCTACTTCAGAAATGCTTCTAAGAGGAATAATGTGGTTTTGCATACAGGTAGATGACACAAGTTCAGCATTTTCTAGTGTTCTTAAAGAAAATAAAGTTTTATGTTGTAATTGGCAAAAAAGATATATTTATTTCCAATAAGTGAATAAAAGTGAAATAGATCTAATAAGTGTTAGAATACAATACAATGTATTTAAGTGAACGGTATATCCAGACAGTAACCTTAACAGCAAAACTCTTAAGCAACATAAACTATGATATAAGAAAAAGCTAATCTTGTCATGTACAGAACTATACAATGTTCTTCAGACAAATATATATTGAGCTGTAAAATAATTCACTGATTTTGCAGAAATGTTGTGAGGGTGTGCTTTTACCATATTTTTGGGGCAATAAGGTGCACCGGATTATACGGCGCACTGCGAATTAAGATGTCTATGTTCACATATAAAGCGCACCGGATTGTAAGGCACATTAAGCATTGATTGTTCTATTGTTGCTAGCACGCACTAGGGGCCCGGACTGCCTTACATGAATGCACTTTTAATTTAGACATTACAGTCAGGCAGTGTTGTAGAATAAAGAACAGTGCTGCTCGGGGGTCCTGTTACAGGGCCAATCAGGTAGTGACACAGCATACCGTAATGCTCAGAATATCCATTGAGCGGAGCGGCTTCGTCGCTTACGAAAGTCGTACATACACATTTCTACAGGATTTTGGGTGCATTGTACCACATAAAATTGGTCAGTAAGCACAACAAGTAATCATACATAAGGTATGCTGGATTTAAAGGTGCACTGCAAATTTTTTAGGAAATCTAAGGATTTTAAGTGTGCCTTATAGTCTGAAAAATACGGTATTTATTTCCCGTGGCAAACAAACTTGATAGCGGTAATGACAGACATAAACATAACTAGTGAGTAACAGTCATGCTCCTAACTTGTTGAAGTAGCTGATAAAAAATTCATCTTATTTACAATTAGCTGAAAATTTCTGACGATGTCTTTGAGATAAACAACACATTATTATCCTGCCTCCACCTGCAATGAGTGCAACATTATAAGCAGGACAAACTCTATATACAACATTAGACTTTAAAGCTTCTGTGTGGTGATTTTAGCTTGACCTGAAACAGTCGAGACCATCAGCATAATGATTTGCTAATTCTGCGCAATGATAGTTAATGTCAAAAACTGCAGCTGCAGGAAAGGTGTTGGACAAAATCTGTGACAGCACACTCCAGAAACTGATAGGACTTCTTTTTTTCCAGAGCAAAGATTTGCACAGTGATATATCTGATTGATGAAAGAAAGTAAGAGGATAAGATTTACTCTTTTTCTACAGGGGATGCCAAAAAACATTACAAACCTAAGTCTCCCCACGAGAGCAATAATGATGTACGACTTATTGTTGCATTTCACCTTGTCAGAGTGGGAATCTTTTTGTCCAACTTCAGTGAGGCTGGTTTGATGAATGATCCAAAATGTCATGTTCATTTTGGCTCATCCTGCAACTGTGAAGAAAAACCTGCTAGAGTCAAAGAAAGAGGATTTGTACAACATGGAAAAAAAAAAACAGATGTCATACAGTGGTTGAGGTTCATGACCTTGCACAGTAGCAGACAATCTCTCATTGAGGAAAGTTGCCTGTAACAAAAAAAAAAAAGTTAACTATGCTTTCATATCCAGCTCATGTCCCAGAAGCCGAAGGATGTTCTTTTTCATTCTCCTCCGCCAACACATATATCAACATACTGTACACAAATGTCACATTCCCTGGATAATGCACTTTACAGTTGACAGTATCTTAACTGAAATCTGATCTTTACCAAGAGTGAAACCAAACCGTCTTTATTTTGAGTCAACAATACAGTATGTGAATGAACGGCACAGCTGATGGGGCTGCTCGGACATATCGTAGATTTCACACTACACACAGATTGAGTTCTCCCTCTCATGAGAAAGTATGCAGTTAGGACATTTGGCCTATGAAGGGTATGACTTATATGATCCACTGAATCACATCTGAGGGGAGACAAAAAAATCAGCCAGAGAGCCCGCAGAGTGGATCGTATATCAAGGGAACGTACACCCTGTTATTCCAGTATAGGTGACTGGGATGTTTTATAGATCAGAATGTGCACTTAAAGAGGAGGGGGAGGAGGTCTCTGTGTTTGTGTATCTGTTTCCATGACACCTTGTTAATTGAAGTGGTAATTACAGCATATACTTTACACACAGCTAAAGGTTAAGCTCCATACTCAGGCTTTACAAATCAAAAGCATCACTATATTTCTCTTCTCTTCAAGTGTTGAAGGGTTTTGGTAAAGAAATACGCTATGATAATAATTAATGAACAGACCCAGATTATTGATTTGTCGTACATACTGAAGAGAGGTGCTTTGTACACTGAAAATGTTTTATTTTGTTGTATTTTTTCAGATATGATTTGGTTTTTAGCATTAAGAATGTCTAATTAATAGTTACCTCATGATAATAAAGTAAATTTAAAAAAATAGTTTTTATGCATTTTTGAAGCAAGGTGGACAAAATGCTTTTGATAAACAGCAACAAAGAGTTTTGACTGCACTCAAAAGCTGGAAATAAGTAAGGCAAGAAGACAGCTCTATAAAAATAAGTCTTGAGACAAGACAAACATCAGGTCAAGTATTAAGAGCTGTTTTCTTTCATGAGTGGAAGTAAAGTGTTCAATTACTCTGTCAGTCTGTTGGTGACCCTGGAACAGCCATAGACCATATAAAATAGAGACAGTTATTGTTATCCCAGGAGGAGTTACAAAGTCTTGAAGATTGTGGTCATTGTTGTCAAACGCTAACTCCAGCGAACTCCTGGCTCAGACAAAAAGTGACAGACAAGTGGAGATCGCCAGACAAACTGCTACGACGCACCCACCAGTTAGACAAACTTTGGAAAACTGTGCAAATGTTAGTTTTATAATGCTAGATTTACTCCAAAATAATGCAAGGACAACACTGCAAACGTTGAAACTTTGAAGAAAAATGTATTGTATTATAAAAATATATGCTCATTTTGAATTTGACCTGAAACAGCACATTTCAGAAAAGTTAGTGCAAGTCGTGTTTTCTTCTGTGTTTTTTCACCTCTTCTTTCAACAACACTCTGTAAATGTTTGGAAACACACAGAGCAGTTTCTGGAGTTTTGAAAATGAAATGTTATTTCATTCTTGCCTGATATAGGATTTCAGCTCCTCAGCAGTTCGAGGTCTCCTTTGTTGTATTTTTCAGTTCATGATACCCAAATATTTTTTGGGCCAGTTTAGCGCCCAGACTCTCTCCACGGCGCCATGCTGTTGTTACATGTGCAGAATGTGGCTTGGCATTGTCTTGCTGAAATATGCAGTCTCCCCTTAAAAAGTATTGTCTGGATGTCAGCACATGTTGCCCTGAAACCTGTACTGCTCAGTATTTGTGGTGCCTTCCAAGATGTGTGAACTACCCATGCCAGGGGCACTGATTCGTCCCTATCCCCAAACAATGCTGGCATTTAAACTGCTCACTGATAACAAAAGGGATGGTTTTAAAGCAAGGTAGTCCCGTTTTGCATTAGACCTGGAGGCACAGCATCCTTAATTTTCAAAAAGAATATCATAAATTGTTCTGTCAGGACACATTTCCATAGTTCCCCTGCCCATCCAAATGGGCCCACGCCCAGAGACGTCACCAGCTTTCATAGTCATGTCTGTTGGTAGAGTTTTAATTTAATTTCTGGTTGTAATGATGACCTTTGTTCACAGACAGTGGTTTTTGGAAGTAATTTTGAGCCTATGCAGTGACTTCCACTACAGAGCCATGTTGATTTTTAATGCAGAGCAACCAGTAAAGAAAATCACAGCCATCTGGTACTTTTCTTTGGTCCTGTATATTTTTCCCCCCAAGATTACTCCAGATTCAGACTGTAGATAATGAAATCCAAAAGCTAACATCATGACATTAATAAACTACTTACTTTCACAGTCTTTTGAGCAGTGGTGAACATCCTCCCATCTTTATTTTAAGAGTGCCCATTTTTAAAACCAGTTGTTTTTACCGAACCTGTTAAACATGAACCTTACGAGTTTTCTTTTCTTTTTTTTTTTCTTTATCTCAGACATGTAATCTTTTTCACTAACCTTGACATGTTTCGACAGAAACTTCCACCTTCCTCAGATGTGTCACTTGGTGGTAGGTGTGACATCATATCAGCTGGTGTTAAATTGACGTGAGGGTCATGCCTCCGTAACATCAGCTGATATGAGTTGTCACACCTACCACCAAGGGTAACTTCTGAGGGAGGCGGAAGTTTTCGCCGAAACATGAAACATGCCAAGGTACATGAAAAAGATTAAATGTCTGAGATGAATAAAAAAAGAAGGAAAACTATTTCTAAGAAACTGAAGAAACTAATGAACAACATTCAACATGAACCTCACTAGTGACCTATTGTTATGGCGACCAGTTGATATGGAGATCTGTTGAAATGGTTACGTGTTGTTTACCTGTTGTTTAAAGAATGGAGGTATTGTGTACCAGGCAGTACATCTTTAATTGTGCTGTCTGTAAATGTGCAAAATGTGTTTTCTTTAGAATTCAGAGCCAGTCTAAAGAGGACACTCCAGGAACTGCAATGTTTCTAACTTCAGATTTGGCTTTACTTTTCAGTACCAGAGGATGTCGTCTGTCAATAATCAATGAACCAAACCCAGGAGATCCAAGATAACTTTCTGGACCGTTAAGAGTTGGTTAGCTAGTTATCTTTCACATATAATACCCATCACATTTAAATCACATATAATAATCCTCCCTTACATGCTGTCAAGAAAGACTCTACTTTATATTCCCTTTTATCACTTTGGCGCAAGCACATAACTGCATATTCACACACACACACACATCACACACACACACACACACACACACACACACACACACACACACACACACACACACAGTCATGCACACAGCATATAATGATTCATTTTGCCTCGCAGGGCTTTGGAACAGAGATGTGTGGGAAAGCTTTAATTAAAAGCATGTCAGAGCAACCTCTAGTGCAATGCTTTCACCTGACTTCAATCTTTTTAGCCCATCTCTGTTATGTGACTGCCAGGTTGATCGAACCACTCTCTTAAGGGCTCACCGTGCCAAAACAAAACATCTCAAACGAGGCCTCCAACAAGCTACTATTAATTTTTTCTAAGCAAATGAGATGTCAGCTGCAATGTTCATAGAAGTCAATGGAGGTGCGATAATTAATGAGTGGAAATAGGAGTGTAGAGATTTAGAGATTAAAACAGGAATTTCAGTGAAGAAAACAGGAAGAAGCTCTTTCATAACATACCCTTTCTGTTTTGTGTTGGTTGATTTTCTTGTTCAGTGGTTAATATGGCACATGACAGAAATGAATGCCATTCCTCACTATGTGTCCCGCTGTAACTTTAGAAGTGTGAAACTATGAAATAAATGGTGTCAGTTCAAACAAGGAAACAAATTTAGTGTGAGAGTGAGCATCATGGTACACAAAGTTACAGGAACTACTACAGCTGACAAGTGAATTAAAAACAACACTTGATATCCAACTGAAAGAAGAAACATGTCAGTTTCATTGGCTGAACTGAGAATACTGTGTTTCAATAAAGGAATAATTTGAAAAAAAAAAAAAAAGACATGGCTAGAATTTTATCAACTCACTTTGTCTGACAGTGGATATAAAGAAATAACTCACTTAAAATCTTCTGTGAGGAACTTTCAGTTTGTAAAAGTTCTGGCGCCCCCTGTGGACAAAGCAGTCTTTGTCTATCTTGACCTTCACATGCTCAAGTAATTTCTTATCCTGCTGACTTATTTGACAGCCAAGAACAATTTTTTGTGTATATTTAATGTTGAAAATGTAAAAACAGGTCTGTTTCTTAGGCAAATCCACTCTTACCTACCTCCTCACACTGGATTCAGGCACTGAAGATTCTGACACTAAAGATTCTGACACTGAAGATTCTGACACTCAAAAATTCCTTACAGGAGCTTTAAATCTTGCAATTCCCGACCCCCATTGACAACTGATCACAAGAGAGGATTACGCGCAATTTCAGCTTCAACAGTGAAAAAAAACTCTGAATATTTAATGGCATTTAAAGAATCCCAAATAAGATTTTTTTTAAAGAAAGCACCTCAATCTGGACTAAAAAGAAACATCTTGTTTAACTCAGTTTGTGAACTCCCCTCCTTTTTACATTGTGCTCTTGGTCAGTTCTGCTTCTATACAATAGAGATGGTCTTAAGTCCTGCACTAATCATCAAACATTAAAAAAATATCACAAAGGAAGCAAGAGCCATAAATTATTTGTGTCCCATCTGGTTACAGTGACAACATGTTCTAGCTGATGGCTTAATGTGTACACAGCCTCTATATTTCCCATCATGCCTGTCAATGTCAGTCGTCAACTTTGTAGCAAAGAGGATCTGACATAAAAATAACATTTAAATTACACACAGACTTAATCTAAGCATATATTGGAAGAGCTCTGTGCCAACAAAGAGGAGCAGAGACCTCTGAACATTAATGAGAGTGGAGTGTTGGTCTCTGAGGAGACAGTCCATTGGTCCCTCTGTCTCCTCCAACAGTCCAAGGCAACCGGGCATGGCTTACAAGATCTGATTAGGTGTAAATTAAAACTTCATTAAGCGCCAGTGCCGATTAACAGGATGGTGCGAGAAGGCCTTTGTTTAAATCCATCCTATATATTACCGCCTCACCTCTTTAATAATACTTCAAAGTATAATATGAATACAGAATAATACTACTGTATGCTGTCAGCATTCAGCTCTGATCATAAAACCACTCTGTACCATGTTATTTTACATTGAAAGTATCTTATGGCTCTACCATTGAAATTACTTTAAAGAGGTCAAAGTTCAAACCAAATCCATCATCTACCATAGATCATAATAACCCTTTGAAAACATTGTAGTTATTTATTTGTAGAGATCTATGACTAAAAATTTAATATGTTCTGCTATGGCACTTGATTAAGGAATCAAAATGTTTGAAATATATGTTGTTATAGCATAAGCAGATGCTTGTGTTAAGGTCCATGCATCCAACAACAGAATAACGCAATTGCAATATATCTTTATATTTAAGTTATAAAAACATTGTGCTGTGGTGGTCCATTCAAATATAAAGATGCTTGTGATCATCCTAAACTCACCCCTGAAAGTAAAAGTCACAAAATCATAACGATTACACAGATTTGAGTATGTTGACACAGCTTGCAGTCTTCTTCCATGCCAGTCAGCATTCATTTATAACATATTTCTCCTAGATGGAACTATGATTGTGTAACCCCAACATCGACAACCTCCAGGCCATTGGTTGATAAGGTATACAAAAGCTCCTGGCTGGTACAAGCATCCATTGTGTCAAGTGCACTTACAAGTGGCATGCAACTCATACAACCCTATTGTAAAAATGGCAAACTATCCCTTTAATCATCCAGGGCTGAGAATGTATATGTTTATATATGTTCAGAAAATGTTTGACTGCTAAAGGACTGGAATGTCTTTCTGGGTGTGATAATGCGAGCATAGTTAGTGGATCCAAAACTTTGACAAACTCTACCTGACACTGAGCTCCTCAAAAATAAAAGTTTTAGCTATTTCAGGAAAGCAGATTAGAGTGTTCTAAGATATATTAACATAACTAAGTTAACATGTGATTAATACAACAAACAAAAGCCTTTTTGATATGAATCATATATGTGAGTGTGCTGCATTCCAGAAGTACCCTTACATGTTAGCATAGCTGCTCCACATTCCTCTAAAAAATATGAGGACAAGTAGTTCTGGTAAAGTATGTTACAAATGTAAAAAAGCAAAAGAAAAAAGCACTTGGAATCACATGGCTGATATCTTTTATTTCATTTATTTATTTCTTCACAAGCAAACCATAAAGCTTGAGAAAGCACCCCCTGAATGTCCCATGTGCCAACACTCCCCCCTTCACCCTCCTCTTCTTCTGCTGTTTCTCTTCTGTTAGTTACCACGTGTGCTTTGCTATGCAGATGGAGCAGGACACTGTGTAAATCCTCTCTTCCTTTACAACACACACACACACACACACACACACACACACACAATTGGGTTTTTTTCATAGAATCAGCAGGCATAGAATCTGCAGGCTGGAGCAGATAACACAGAGTCCTACAGCTACCCAGAAGAGTGTCTGCAGGCATGCATTAAGTAGTGTATGTGTGTTTATTCGTGAGTGTTTGCATGTGTGAGACACTAATTGTTTACCATCCCATTGTGCTCCTTCTTCTCATCTCCACCTCCTTCTTCTCTCCCCAAACTATGTCTTTCATGTGAAACACGCACACACCCAAACCCTCAGTGGTGACACACATACATCGTCAGTCCATCAATTCGACATCTGGCTGCATTATATCAGCGTCATTATGAGCATTACCTGAATTCACCCCCATAACACCTGCACGCCTCCACCCACCGCAAACACATTTATAGTTGACTGTGTAATGGATCACTCAGAAGCTTTCAACATAAATTGTCAGAACGCTTTCTTTCACAGTTGAGGTGCTTGCCAACAGGGTCAGGAAATCCTGCAGGTCGGGTTTGAAAAAGGCTCAGAAAGAACAGTGTATGCTTGTACACACACGTACTCCCACATACAGACACACGCATAGCAAACTTGTCACAAGTTAGTGAGAAAGATGAGTAGATATCCCTCCAAGCAAACCAAGATAAGTTATAAAAATGAAACAGGTGTGACTCTATTTTTGCTTGTGTTGCAAAATCATGACTGTATTGATGCTACCCTCTATGATTTACACTCTAAATTTGCACAAAAAGAGAACTAAAATTAAAAAAAAAGGTGTTTCTAGTCCTCGCCTCCTCCAAAACGCCTCAGGCTTTCTCAATTAATGAAGGGTTTAAGCAAGTGCATACACATGTGAGCACATCAAAACCTCTGCTTAGGGGTTCTGCTCAATGACAGATAGGTTACAGCCCAGTAAAAATTAATGATGAAGACAAATTGGAGCAGCACCTGGCCGGCGATTTATCAAAGCCCCTGCAGCTGAGGTGGTGCTTTTTGCCTGCGAGGGAATTCATTTCATGGAGAGGTATTTGAAAAAACCACCACAGAGGGCTGGAAAGAGAAGAGAAAGAGAGCGACGCACATGTAGAAAAAAGCTTGAGGGCTGGAAAAGACTTGTTTTAATTTGTTTTTAAGTTTTTGTCAAGTGCTGAACATTTATATGAGCCCGAGAATGACAGAGGTGAATCAAAGTGCAAGCTGCAAAGTCTTTTCCGATTACACACAGAGATCAAACGCAGACTTCTTTTTCCCCCTGCAAAGTTATTAATAATCTTCTGAACCACAATTCATTTTGATGAATCACTACGCGGGGCATCAGGGTGGTTTGACTGTGTCGAACATTGCCTCACACACCCATGGTTTGATAACCTCCCCACCTGCACACTAACTCCAACACCAACACTTCTCCTGCAGGATATTTGATGGAAAGATAAGCTCAGATGGTGAAGATAGTTTTTTTTTTTTTCACACGGTAAATTTATCTCCAGTGGGGAAAAAAAATTCTCAAGGCGATAAGAGAGACATGAAAAGGATGTGGGAGGAGCGGTTCCTACACTTCCATCCTGAACCGGCTGTCAATCAGAGTTTTCTTGAGGGAAAGATGAGTGGGGCGAGCTTGAGAGTGAGGCTTTGAATTCAGAAATGGCCAATTAGTAGCTGTCAGGTGTCGTTTTCTTCTACCATATTTCTTAAATGATTTTTTGATGCCATGTGATCTCTTCAGCAAATCTGTTTCTTGAGCACTTCAGTGATGTTCAGGATTTTGATGAAGGTCAGGTTACACTTCTATGATAAAAAAAGGAAAAAAAAAAAATCCACTTATGATCATGCGAAAGAAGGTGTCTGACGGGAAGGAGTCTGAAGTTAATTGCACCATTTAAAACTTTCTCTGATGCACTTGAGATGATCATAAACCTCACGTCTACTCTGAATTTTCTGTGATTGCCGTCCAAAATCATTGAAAGACATCACCCAAAACCAAAGCATTAATAAATCATATTAAAACACAAGTCTGATGGATGAGGATGAAATTCTGCCCTTGAAAAATGTGTTTGATCTTGACTTGGTTCCAAGTTAGGATCAAAGGAATTGCCCAATTTTTACGTCTGTGAACGTAATCCTCAATGGAAGGGTAACATTTGTCAATGGAATATGTTTTTTATTTTATTTTTTTTAACAGAAACCTTTTAACTTGATGAAAAATTAATCAACCTCGTGTTCTTGTCTTGAAGAGGAACTTCAAGTGAACTTGTCCTGCTTTAATTGTAACAGGGAAGCAACTGACATTCATCAATTACAGCTCGAGTACGGAGTTTTTATCAAGCCATGAAAGAAAATGAGATCAGTATAAATGCCTCTTTTTGAGCTTACAAAAGCAAAAGGGACCATCAGCATGAAGTCTGATTATTTCTATGCAATAATTTTATTATAATAATGCTTGAAACCGCTGCCATGTGGTAGGAGTCAGATGAATGCACCAAAGCACACTGTCAAAACAGACCGTTTGATGTTTTTTTCACCACAAAATTCAGGTTGAATGGTAGATTTAACTTTGAAAAGAGATAAAGAGGAGATTTTCATCTAAAAAGGCTGTTGTTTAATTTCTTACTTGCACAGTTATCCTCTCTAGCTAAGAGTGAAGGTCTGTGGAGGCTGCCTTCGATCCAGCATTTATTACTGTGAGTGGTTCAGCCAAATGTAGAGCCCTTCATCAAACTGTTGTCCTCATTAATGTAATATTGTTCATAAGTGTCCATGTTCATTGACATACAACGAGGTGATTTCACCAGAGTTGACTGATTTTCTCAATTTTAAAGTGGTTAATTTAGGTGGTTGTAAACAAACCACGCTGTCGAAAGTAGGTCCAGTCCCTGTTTAAGAAAGTGTTTTACGATCACAGCCACCCATCAGACCACCACCTTTCGCAATTGGCCTCAGCACACAGATACAGAGTCCCCAAAGCAAGAAACAGGTGATTTTTTGAAGTTGCCGTTAAAACATCATAATCAGTAAAGGCTAAAACATTCAGGACGCGTATTTGGAGTGTGGCAGCATCATGCAGCAAATAGGTTGCCATTGTAATGAATGCAGCAAAGCATACAGGACGCGTATCAGCATGGCAGCATTGTATCAAGAGCAGCTCTGCTAAAGATACGCAGCAAGTCTATTTTTTTGCTGCTCTATGCTTCCAATGCACGTCAATCCACACAGAGAAGATTGTTCCAGACAGGAAGTCAAGCATGAAAATCGCGCATGTCATCTGGTATTTCAAAATAAAACATCATATGGGAGCTCCCAACTATATATCAGTTCCTGTAGATGAGAAATACTTCCTGGTTCTGGATTTATCAGTAACACAGAACGATATGATGGTCAATCCCTGATCCATGTGGACCCTAACAGGACTTTAAACTGCTAACTCTGTTTGAAGGTAAGAGCACAGCATAAAGGAACATAGTTTACTTTATTAAACACAGGTAAACCTGCAAAAACTGAAACTGTAAAATCATGTTGCTTTTTCACATAAAGTAGAGGCTCAAAAATCATTAAATTATATCCAAATTAGCAGGAAAAAGACCAAAGAAAGGTAAAACAACCTGTTGTGAGCATGTTGTTTCCTCTATACTGAGCCCAGCTGACCGGGGCTGCACTACGCTGCTGCCACACTCCAAATACGCATCATGTGTGCGATAGACAGCCCTGCTCTACGGAGAAAATACGCAACGCACTCAATATGGATCCTGTATGTTTTCGGCTTAAAACTCTTCACAGTCAGTCTGTGACCTCTTACTCAGGGACGTATCTAGACTTTACAAGGTGGGCTGGGCCCGCTGAAAACTTGTGAAAATCTAAAGTTCTTTGCTGGAGCTATAATACTTCAAAGACTCAATTCATTCATTTAAAAAAAAATATTGATCAGAAATTCGTCATTTTGAGGGGTGACTATTAAGGATTTACATGTCCTGGAGGGGGTGGTATTTTATGGTCTCTTGAAATTGCATGGAGTAGGTTTTATCATCATGTACACACGTGGATCACTTTAAAAGTTTAACAGAAAAAAGAAGATATTCTTAAGGATAGTCAGCAAAACTACACACACACACACACACACAAATAGAAACACACATTAAGAAAACTTATACACACACGTCTGCACACAGCACATTACACTGTCCTCCTCTACAGTGGCTGAACACAGCGTACATCACTAGAGGCAAGGTTACCTTTGTTGTTTTGGCTCTCCTTGCCAGATGCCTTTTGTAGGTGCTTCTCCCTCCAGCACTTTGTGGCTGCTGGAGTGCACACACACAAGTGCATGGACACACATAAACTGGGACACACACATGCAACATAGCATGCATGCACTCACTCACTCACTGATGCACATGGACACATTATCACAAGCACGCCAACACATACAAGCTCACTAACACACACTCATGTATCACCTCTACCCTGTGACTCCTCAGACACACACGCACATACATGTCTGCTCACACAGTCAACCCCCTGCACCCCTGGGTGATGAACAACATCTGCTTATCCGTCCCTCCGTCCCTGCCCCTGGCGTGGCTGCTGGCTTCCTCCTGGCTGCTCTGCCACAATGTCATCTTGTCTGCCTCCCTGTCAGCCATTACTGAAATGTGTAGTGACAATCAGCCTCTCTTTTTGTACACTGGCCGCTTCACTCACACTAGACTGGGACCAGTAGCTCCAGTTTGAGGCTCGGTGAAATGATGGGGTGTCATCTTCCAGGCCTCCTCTGTGTATTCCCAAGGTTCAGGACAAGACTTTACATGATGGGACCCACTTTTTTACAGTGAAAATATAATTGATTACCTGGTTCAGGCTACTTTAGGTCCCACTAGACCGTGGGACATCTGTCCTTGTTGTCCACCATCTTGACTACACCTTTTTTTTTTTCTCCGTCTACTATATTTACCCTGAAAAAGAAACCAAACACATTATTTAGTTTTGGCGGCAACTTTTCTCAATATGTCACTTTTATGAAACACATTAGGGGTATTGCAAGTATATAAAAAATACAGAACAAAGAAATTCTTTGGCATGACTGATAGTGTTTTAAGTTTTTTTTTACTTTTAATACAAAAAATATTTTCAATATCAAAAGAGTAAGTAAAATTCAAAACTATTGATTTTATCATTTGTTTCTTGTGGTATGATGATTAATAATTTGAAATCAAATAAATGAATTTAAATTCAAATTAAATAAATCAATCAAATGAAGAAATAATAAAAAGAAAAAAATCTAGTTTCAACATGAAGCTTATTTTTACAAGCATGAACTGGAGAAGGACATGTGATTAAATAGGATAAATACACAAAGCATCAATAAATCAATAGATATTTTTCAGTCCCCCCTCCAAAAATCTTTTGGTTGTTAATTAAAGCTCCTATGAGGACTTTTTTTTTAAATGAAATACACCAGAATTTATACTAATGTCTTTAAATTACATACAAAAGCAAACAAACCATCAGCAACAAGGTTGAGGATTTTTATCTTACATTTAGTAGGGGTATCTTTTTTGTTGTTGTTGTGCATATACAAAAAAGCTTTTAATATCAGTCAATAGCTATTAGTCATTGGTGACATTTGGGAATATCCCAATATCGCTGTGTTCTCTCATGCCTGTGTCGTCAGCATTCTAAAAATTTTGAGCGGTCCGCTCTTTCTGACAGTAAGCAAAGCCGTTCTCCACCTCCCCGACCTGACTGGATGTGAGGTGGATGCTGCTTCTTCGTGCTGATTGGTCGTGAGGCAGACGCTGTTCCCCCGTGTTGTTCACGAGCCTAAACGAAGTTAGCGTGCTACAATGTCGGACAGTAGAAATCAACCAGAAAGTACAGAAAAGTGAATCAACAAACGCAAGAAAATGAAGTAAATACATACAGTAAAAATCATTTCCTGACTGCACCTATGCAGAATAGAAGACATCAAAAAGTACCCTTAAAACATGCCACCTGATAGTGACAACTGAAATACACACATGAACAAACACCAATGAGCCATTAGATTACATCACAGGGAAAGCAGGACACGGGACAGTCTGTTGTACAGTGTGAGCGCATAAATCAATAAATCATGAGCTTTAGTGGTGCATCCTATATGACTCAATCATACAGAGGGAACTAACTTTCCACCACAGCATTTATACAGTCCTATGGTGTACACCCAGCCTAACAAGAGCTCTAACACATCACAAAGTGAGAGGTACTCAATCATGAGCACCTCCTGAATGACAGTGTTGGCAGGCTCTTGAGGTAGAGTCGTAGGGTTCCTGGTTGGCTGTTGCTGCAGGTGGATGATTTTGGCATCAAGCTGGAGGATGTACCACTTACAGACACACATGCATACACACATACACACAAATTTACACACAGGACACTCAAAAAGAATTTGACATACACACATACAGGAAAGGGGGCTCAGCAGCTGCCATTACATCTCCGTTTAATGAAATGCAAACAACTGTAAATACCAAAGTTTTGATGAATTGGCTCAGGGTTTGGCAAGGAATATTCCGGCTGAAATCCAAAATGAAGACACATGCAGCATTTATTTCTTTTACCTCTTAAAAAAACATGTTACTTTACATCTTTTATAAAACACACAAAGTTACATGAAAGAATCTGACCTCTTTCCTAATCCTCCTTTCACTCGAAATCAACTGTTACACATCTGCACCCATGCCCGTACACTCAAACACACATTTCTTACAAACATGTACACACACACGCGCGCGCGCGCGCACACACACACTGCCTCATCATTTCTATGTCGACCTAGCTCCAAATAAACTACTGTAGCTGTAGGGGGCAGGTCACTGAGGATGTTGCTGCAGAAGCACATTCTCTCTCTCTCTCTCTCTCTCTCTCTCTCTCTCTCTCTCTCTCTCTCTCTCTCTGTACCTGTATTGGCCAGCAGGTCGCTGTTACCTACAGGTCTGCAGGCCTGCAGTCTCTTGACACAGACGGATGACATATTTATTAGCTTGTCAGATCCTCTCTGCCCTCCTCTCCCTTGTTCGCACACACTTTTTTACTGTCACTCTCGCAAACGCACACTAAAACACATGTACAGAGGTGTAAAACATTCACTTTATTTCATATTGATAAATTATATTTCGCTAACTGTGAAATCTACACTCTTGATGGATTCCTAATATCTTGTTCTTTCCCCTCTCTTTTCCTGTTTTCGTCTCCCTCTGTCTCTCCTACACCTAAGCTAAACAAACAATCAGCTCCACTGTTGGCTAATTGGGATGGGCTCCTGTGGCGAGGTGCAGGCAAAGCGCTTGATGAGGCATAAAATGATGATTAATTAATTTACTGCTCAGTTGGTCATCAAACTGAGAGCTTTATGAGACTCCCAGCAGTCAGCCAGGCCAGCGCGCACACACACACACACACACACACACACACACACACACACACACACACACACACACACACACACACACAAATTCAAAAAGCATGAGTACTCCGTCCATGCATTCACATCTCTTTGATGCTGCCAGCCTGCACAATCACATCCACACACATCAGTGCTGCCTGTGGTCAGAGGTATGCATGGAGGGAGCAGCTCTGCCTTTCAGTGACCTGTGTTTGAAATTGATTCAAGCACAGAGAGGCAGTGAAGGTGTCGGCAAGTATTTATTAACTCATTACAGAGAGGTAGCAATTAAAAGACCGGCCAAACAAGTCTGTGAAGATCGAGTAGGTGAAAAGATACACCAAAGATAATAACAGTCTGTCGTATGACAATTTTCTAAATTCAACATAACCTTTTGGATCTAGAAAGTTGCAATAGTCCAAATAATATGCTCAGTTTTAAAGGATTCCTACTGAACCCACAGCTTATGGGTGATACTTTTCACACTGCTTTGAAATGATGAATCACCCCAAAAGATGCCTAAACTGCCTAAACATAAACATCTGAGGCTAACTGATAGTGTGCGCTTCGCTCTCCATTTAGCCGCGTTAGCTTACGTCAGCTGTTGTTACAGTAGTTGCTGTTATGTCACATATAGCTCTTGGTTGGAGCAGCCTCAGGTTTCAGTTACAGTTGAAATCCAGTGAAGTGGCCAGCACATACAGCTATGATGACATACAGCTAAACTCAAAAACAACAAAAGATCAAATTTTCGTGATACTAAATAAAAACAGAAATGGATCCTCCAGATGTGGGGAATTTTAAAGACCGCCTGGGTCTGGCGTGTCCTTCAACATTGTCCTCATAGGACAGCACAGCCTGTTGTCAGATTTAGGCTAAGTCTCACAAATCCCGGACAAAACTGTTCAGGTAAGCTCGTCTGGAGATTAAACCAGCATCCATGCATCTCGTGTTTGCTGAGGTTTAACATGGACATCCAACGTTGCCATATTTTCAGTATTTTTTAAAACACTTACCATCATAATATGTCTCCTTAAAATACTCTAGCGAAAACTTTAAAAAAAAAAAAAATTCACAACTTCATGTTTAAATTTCACAAGATGAAGAGGACACAACCCTTCCATAGTTGCCAAGTCCACTTATTATAATCACTTTGGGCTTGTTTTTCTTAGAAGTCGCTTCACTCCACTTTATTTTGAATGGCAAAACATGTGCTATTTATACGGAACATTTGGTTACACATTCGTTTTTTCAAATCAAATGTTACGTGTTAATAGCGCATGTTTTGGTGTTGACAATAAAGTCAACTGCATGACAATCAGTTGAGAAATGAGCAAGTCATAATCTATTTTCATTGTACATGCATTGCTTTTGATAGGAACGATGCCCCCACTAGTTTAGCATTGCCATAGACACGCAGCTCAAAGGGGCATGTCATATGTACATATTCCTATATATAACAACAAGTAAGGAGACAGAATGAGAATAAGTGGCAGTAAGTGGAGAAAATATGGCAAGAAATATAGTAAAGAGCATAATTTTGCTGTTGCTTATGCATAATGCAAGAATAAATGTAAATATTTTCACTGTTAACCAGTGGCCTCTGTTTTCCACAATGTGGCGGGTTGCCTGTTGGGCTTATTTTGGGCTTGTTTTCATATAGCTGGTTGCTTGTTTCTCTCAGTAGATCAGGCAACACTGAACCCTTCACAAAACTGGTCACTACAAATTAATTGTTGCTTAAGGACACGACTGCTGTGCGGCAGTGAAGGCGGCAGTGTGTTGTTGAAACACGAGTCTTATCTGTTAGTGCAAAAAACTTGAATGTCCACTTGAGGCTGACAGCAAAAGACAAAGAATCCCCATTAGTTCCCATGTTAAAATGACATTTTTACAGCAAAAGCAAACATCTATAAACCTGGTTTGAAGTTTGTCATCTCATTGTCCCGACACACTGTTCAGAGGATGTTTTTTTAAACATCAGATCCATTCTGATATTACGAGGGCACAGAGAAAAATAGATACTTAAGCAAAGATCAGATACCAGTAAATTACAGAACTGAATTACTGGTACTCACTATTTAACCACTGCTAAATGTAGTTTTTCCATAGTAGTTCTGTGTAGTTCTGTGAGTATTATCAGCGGTTCTTGGCTGCAGGAATAATGCTTGTGTGAAACTCATGTCGAAGGATAACGCTTAATTTGTTTGTGCTCTGAAAGAGCAGAATTTTTCCTAGATGCAAAGTTTAACAACTTGACAAATCGCCTGCAGGGAACTTCGCCAGACTACTAATCCCACAGTTTGCATGAACCAGAAGTTAGTACTTCAAGTTGTACTGGTCAGTAATGTTGAAGAAGGTGTTCTCTCTTCTTGTTTACCAATAAATAAAGATGAAAAGTTATTCCACATGTCTGTCTCTTACTGAAGGACTGAAAATAAGGGGTGAAAAAAAAGAAAAGAAAAAAGACAGAAGAGCTTCAGAAGTCAGAAAAGAGTGATGAGCTTTAGAGAGAGAGAGAGAAACACCTGGGCTCTTAAACAGGTCGCTGCATCTCCATTCCATCCCCTTTGCTTCGGCTCTGTCAGTGTGATTGATCATCTGATGCACCTCTGCTGCCAATCTCTCTTAAAATGCTCCTCATTTTCTCCTCCGTCTTTCCTCACCTCCTCCCAACTGATATGCAAATGTGGCAAGCAGAGTCACAAAGAGGACAAGGTGCCAAGTCAAATATTTAAAGTGGAGGCATTAAGAGCTCATTCAAAGCATCCCAGGGTTGTACAACAATGATCGTCTCATCTTCATCAAAAGGTTGCTTGTCAGGATTATGCAGCACAAGCAATATGTCCTACCGTTGTTGTTAGTTTTGATTGTATAAGACTTCTAGTTGTCTTTTATGTCTCTGTGGTATTACACGTTTGAATAGGGATCATGGAATATTGTCTTTATGGAGGAATCTGCTTTGTCTTTGGCTTAAAAGCAAATCATTGCTAAATCAACAATGGCATTGTTCTGTGCTTAGTCTGGATAATTTGAAGACGCAGTTTCCTAAGAATCCCACCCAGATAGCACCCAGTTGAGCTTCAGATTTACTTATGCTCATGCCAAGACAACAGATCTCACACTGGAGATCTGGAACATTTAAGGTACATACATTTACATTTGATAAACAAATGTGCTGCTCTATGGCTTCAGGAGGAAAGACAAGCAAACACATGACCTGTAAGACACAGATTTTTATGTGCTCTCAAAAATAAATAATTATTTTTAAGTCCCTTTCAGTCTTCCTTTTTTTCACTTAAATAAAGTTGAACACTTTTGTGATCATCTCTTACAAATTGTCTGTCAAAATGTGACAAAAGTGTATGTTAAAACAAATTCTTTACAGTGGAGTTGTCCTATGTTCTGAATGATGTGGGCATGCCTGTGCAGTATTTCATTATGTCAAGTAACAGACACGCAGAGCTCGAGGCAAGTGTAGTTACCCTGAGATCCACCCAGATCAATCACATTCACACTTTAACCACCCACTTTTGTACAATCATTAAAATGAAATGCAGCTGACTCACATGACACATTATCATTTTTTTAAAAACATTATTGAATGATTTAGAGGAACAGAGTCCAAAACAGTCATGTACATTTCTGAAGGATATGACTTGTCCTTCATACCAATCTGTGTCAAAGGTACAGAGCAAATTAAAGTCTCCTCAACACTTACACAGTCAGTATCTTATTATTATAGATATCAAGTATGGGCGATATGGGCTAAAAAAAAAGATCAAGATATGATTTGCCATTCTGGCGATAACAATAAAAGTCCAGATAAAAAAAACAATCTGTACTTTTGACTCATTTCGTCTTGAGAACACCAGTTGGCATAGTCAAATAAGATATTTAACCACAAGTTTGAGTGGTAGGTTATGGAGTAAACTAATGACATCAAACAAGTGAGAACATTTTCAACATTTGTTTAAA